AGAAATACCTTTGCCAGTAAAGCATCCAAATCTTCACGCCACATACTCTCCGGACTTTTCTTTCTTAGATGTTCATATTCTTGCAGTCTTTCATCACGTTGTTTTAAAAGTTGATTTTTCCTTTCCAGGGTCAGAGACCACATTTGCATTCCCAATAAATAATCAAACTTTCGTTTTGATTCCGCTTCTGATTCTTCAGCTTCACTGTCTTCTTCTGCAGTACCCAAGGATTGACTTTCTTCAGCCTGAAAAAGTAAAATAAAATAATAATAATAATAATAATAATAATAATAATAATAATAATAATATAATCGTGCTCCATAGCACATACTTTCTCGTAACGTTTCTGAACATTACGCAATATTATACTGAACAATTGATTTGATGTGACATTAATTTTACAACGAGAACAACAGAATTGTAAACTTAGTTTAAAATACAAAAATGGCATACACATATTCAGTTTATTTAAAATCTTAATAAATTGTATAGATGAGTAGGATTGCTTCAAATGATTTTCAAAGAAGTTCCTAAAATTCTTGAAAGTTTTCAGTGGCAACAGAGAGTAGTGACAAACACTTATTCTGAGCCAGTATCGAACCAGCAGCCCTTTCCTCCAAAATGCTGAGTCCCAGTCAGTAGGTTGGAGCAGATAGACCTGCCTGGAAGAAAGCACTGTTGGATGTATGGAAAGAGAGAGTTGTTCTTGCTGAAATACAATATGGAGGCAGCGACAATTTTTTTCATGACTTTGAGGAAGGGAGAGGTCAGAGAGATAGGGCGATAATTTTCTGAATCTTTTCTTGTATATAGGAATGATGGTTGTTGAGAGCCATTACAGCACAAGGCACTTTCTTTTATGAATCATTCAAAATGGTCAGGCAAGTGGATTGTGATCAAACAAGTCTATGAGAAGAGGCCATGAGAGCCAATTGACGTGTTAATTTCTATTTCTCTAAGATGATTACGGACCAGTTCAACAGGGAAATGAACATCACAAAGTCGTTCTGAGTGTGTTAGAGAGCAATGGTGACCAATAGGCCAGTACCTTCACGTATGAAGATGCTGCTGAATTTGTTGGCTAAGATCTCGGGAACAAGGAAGAGGTATCATAAGACTGCCCAAAGTACTTGCTGGAGAAGGTTTGGTACTCAATTGGTGTTTTGGAATTGGATATTTGTAGAATTTTTTTGTACCCGAATCACATGCACATGAGCGGGTGCACGAGCACGAGTTGCATGTGATAATGTACACATTGGAAGTCAATTGCAGAGCTGACTTGGTTTCGTAGCTTTTTGTAGGCAGCAGCAGGGTTGTTCCAGGTAAGTTCCAAGAGAGTTGAGCCAGCATTCGCATAATAGAAGTGAATGGACACTAGTTCTTTGAATGATATTTATTATTTATTTATTGATTTTATGATGTCTACTGCTTGAATGTAGCTTAACAATGGAAGGCACCTCCTTTGCGATAAATTATGGCAAGTTCTTTTTCTCCTGCATTGGTTCAAGCATGTAGGTCTGAAATTGTTGTCTTAAGCGAAGTCCTTTGCTGAGGTGTGAGATCTCTTAATTGTATTGTTTTTTTGTTGCGTGCAGCTGTAAGAACAGTTGATACATCTTCATTAGATTGAAAAATAACATCAATGGAGCGCGCCTTCTCTAAGCTTAACTTGCCAAAATGGTATATGCCATGTAAAGACCCAGACAGGTTAGAGTGGCAATAACTACTGTCAAGTCCTGTTGTTGACAGAAGTCGCTATTGGGGCTTATAGATTCAAGAATGTTTCTCTCGTGTCGATGGTGATCATTAATTTCTGTTGGATTAGAGTAAGAAGTTGATTACTGAATCTTATAATCACATTCTTCACATAGACTGATGGGAGCTACAGATAATTTTTCATTTGTGTTAGCCTTGACTTTCCTGACCTGGGATTCGATAGTGACGACATTGTTCTGTACGTTTTAGTGGGAGTTAAGCAATTTCTCATTGGATTCAGCTCTCAATTCACTGGAGTTGCGAGTTTTAGCGAGAATCTGAAAAGCGTCTGGGTTGTTTTTCATGCCAGTAGATTTGCCTCTCAGATCAGCCATTTCAGATTTCAGTTTGGCAACAGCATTCTTAAGATCAAGGAGTTGGCCTAGTCCAGTGTTGCAGATTCAATAAAGGAGAACTAGTGAGTGGTTCCTGAGAGTCACACATCTGAATTCTGTAGGAGAGTTCCCACTGCATTTCAATCTGAGTAGGTATTTACAGTTGATGATCATAGGCTTTCTAGAGTTTCACATTCCCAGACTTCTGCAGGGTTTCCAGTCAGAACAATTTTTTTCTCCAGTTTTTGTTCATCATTTATTTTCATAATAGATGAGAATGAAAACGGGCTAAGGATGATAAAATGGATTATAATAACTTAATTCTTCAACAATATGTAATTATTGACTATACCAATAAAACAATTATTTAAAAAACAGAAGATTCTTGGTCCACCTACTTCAATGTCAACGAAATCAGTGAACCAATCTCAACATCAAGGTGTGCCATTTCAGCAGTTATGGCTCATTTCTTATGCTTCAGTTCACTTACCTTTGTTTAGCATTTCTTTTCTCCGATTCCTTTTTTCTTTTCTTCCTGCTCTTTTGTCTTCTTCCCTTCCAATTCTTCACGATAGTATGAGCATTTCTAGCATAATGAATCAACTTGTAGTTATCTTGAACTGCATAAGTCCTCCTGCTGTTACAACACCATCCCAAGCTTGTCTTTGAGCGACTAAAGATTTTCAGCCAATTATCAACAGGGCATTCCTTGTTGATGAAAAATTCCCTTTCGACATTAGCCTGACCATAAGATAAAACAAGCCTCATCTTAATAAATTATAGCAAATCACTGGATCCTTCAAAATACAAAATTACTTTTTTCCAAAATCAATCCAATCTGTTGTGTTCCAAGTAGTGTTTGAAATCGTTATTTATGCTAGGTTTAGAACAGGGATGAGTCTCTTTCAATTTTGTCTCCATTAATTCCCATTATCCATCTTTGTGATACAAAATCTGCAAGGAATAGCCATTTGCTTGCAGCAGTAGATGATGTAGTTATCAGATATGGATCACAGAACGTAAGATTCTTTACAGATTTTAAAGACAAAGGGAATTTCATCTCAATGTTTTTGAAAAACATTTGTAAAGCTGTTAAGCATTCCTGCCTTGATTGTAATACAGCGTTTTCTTTATAATTTCCTGCAGATCAAATCGTTGCACGTGTTTGACATTGAGCAAATTTTCTTTCTTGAAAACATCTATTTTTGCATCTGAAGAATTCTCCAGCGCCTCTTTTCTAATGAAACTACACGCAACATTTGACATCAGCACTGTTAACTCAATACACAGCATCAGTATTAGGGGTTTCTTAGCCTGAACGTGTTCAGAAATGGTTCAACTACTAATGCCATTGTTAGTAAAAATGCTACTATACCTCATAACAAAGGATCTTCTAGTTGTTCGACTATTTCATGATATAACCATGATTTTGGCTCGATTTTCTCTTTCTGAACTCCCTCAATGTACGCTTTCAAGTCCAGTATGACTTTAGCTGCACGTTCCGCAATAGCAGCATTGTGAAGCCAACAAACTGTGCAAAATCTAAGAGGAAATATCTTTGTCTTACTGTCTCAAATGTAATCTGCTCACTGTGGGGATTCACCTCTGAAAAGATAACAGATAGCTCGCAAATATTGAGCTATATTCCAACCTGTAGACTGATACTTTAAACGCATTGTGTAAAGTGAACTATCCGCAAGACCCAATGTCAATCAAAGCATTTTGACCTTCTTGCAACTCTGAGTTAAAATCAAGGTGAAGCTTCAGGTTGACATTTGGTCCATCTATTGAAATTTAAATTAATTTAATCAAAGCAACAGCTTTGAAGACCAATTTAAATCCTTCCAGAAGGTCAGTGGCTTAACTGCGACCTAAAATGGTTGAATCTAGGAACATCCTGACCACTTTGTTCTTAGATTGTCTCTAGAATGTGATTACCAAATCCATTTGCGATTTCTGACTAACTTTATAAAGACTTGTCAACAATACGCTGAAAGGACAATCTAATGAAATAGTATCAAGCAGCTGACTGAAAAAATGGCACAAGTCCATAAGTCATCATGTATGCCAGTTGAGGGCTTCAAGAGCCATTGCTTGAGCTATGTGACTATCACGAAACATAATTATAAATGCTTCAGTGCTTGAACAGATTGCATTAAGAGATTAATGTACCATTACAGACTGAAGACACCATATAATTTCACCATATGATTTGGTAATTTTATATCTTTCTAAATATTTCTGAATTTTCTTAACTTCAGATTTTTGTTTTTAGACGGTAGATATCCACTGCAGCAACTTCATCTTCAGAACTTTCATTTGAAGATACTCTCTTGATTGATGAAAGTGTCATTACAATGACATACGAAAAAAGTTTTTTGTCTATATTCAACAATCATCTGCTCAAAGATTGTTCCACAAAAACCTACACATCCCTTATCCCTTAACATTTGGGACACAATCATATTAAGTGGAATTCTTAAGAAACATTCTGATGTATAAAATTTTATGTTTCTCAGAATGAATATAGCCAACGACTATTAGCAGCAACTCAATCACCCGCGGATCACAGGTTCAGTGTTTTTAGGCTATGGACACAATTAAATCACATCTGTCACACTCATCATATCTTTCATTTTTCATCTCATTAGAGAGTAAAGGACCTAGAGATGTGTCTGTATCGTGTTCACAGCCTTACAAATGGCGTTTTATGTATGTGCCATGTTTCAATATTAAGGCTGTGTCAAACACACAAGTACTGACATTACAGAATTCTCAAATACTTTGAAACAAACAACAATTTAGACCAAAGCGCCATTTCCCACATTCAAAATTTTTTTAAAAATAATATTAATTTGTAATTTTGTAATAATTTCCAGTTTTAGAAGTGGAGAAAAAGAATTACAAAATTATAATTTCATTTGAAACAAATATTTTATATTAAATACATTCTCTCATAACCAAGGAACAGTGCTCTGGTAATTATTTGTTAAAAATAATTGAATATATAGGAAAACATCAATGGCTTCGAAACACTATTCTTTACTGATAAATGATGGACTTCGGTAGTTGTTAGTCATTTATAAGCAATGAATTAATAATACAACTGATTCTGTTGTTATGTATATTATTGAAATAAGCTACTAATTATTACTCACCCTTGATTCATTGTGTTTCATACTTTAAGAAAGAGTTCTCGCATTTGTGTACTGTTTCATAATATCTAAATCTAATAGATGGCGTCACTTTGAATTCATATATTTAATATGAAGACATTATGTAAGGTATTATATAGGCAACTAGAATCTGATGTGGCCCAAATCGGCACTAACAAATAAAACAAAAATATTTAATAAAATTTATATAATTCATGCTTATGCCTTTTACTTTATAAAAATATATTATAAAATATGAAAAATTTAACAATCAATTTTTTATTCAACGAAAATAATTTCCATCTATTTACAAAAATTTTCTGACTTTTTTAGTTTTAATTTTTTCCTGACATTTCCGGGTCCGTACGAAGTCCTGAGTTATTGCTATATTTCCTTTCCCATACGAACTTTTCTTGATAAAATTCAGTAGACGCAGGCAGGCGTGTGTGCGTGTGTGTGTGCCAATAATGTAATTTATCTTACTTCGCAAGAGAATTAATAGAAGTAAATAATCACCTTACTGAAGCACATTGTATGTCTTGTTGCATTTGTTTTGCCTGGTTAAAAACAAATATTATAACAAGAAATATCCAATATTTGCACAAATATTTCATTATGTATAGGGAAGGGAGAAAAAGAAACAACGTATTAATCTACGTAGTATCCAATTGCAACTAAATATCAAGAAACTTCCCTGAAGCATTGGACAAAAAATGCGAAAATAGAAAAAAATCCGCTCCCTAGTTATCACAGAAGTAGACATCATCACAGGTCTTACTTGTCGCACTTACATTCATATTTGCCACCATGTTCCTAAATAAAAAAATTACAGTTGAACCCAGACAATATAAGCTACAAATAAAGGGGGTAGCAGATTAAACTGCCCCAGTGATAATCTTTTATGTTGAAAATCATAATTGAAGTGTAAACAAAAACAAGTGTTTTAATGTATTTATTAAGCACACTTCTGCGTACGCAACATGAGCACAAGCCACCTCCACTGCACTATCTTTACCGAGTTAAACCGGATGTGAAGTGCTAAGGAACTAATAAATAATAGATATTTAAGAATCATAGTGGGTACAAAAATTGACGGAGGCAGTACTACACGTATTACACTGGATTTATTTCTAGTTCGGAATAATTATGTAGTAAACATACTACCTTTTGAATTTCATCCTCCTTGCAGCAAAAAGGGAGACAAATCAAAATGTTATAATGTTTATAAAATTTAACTCAATTTTAATAGCATTATTTTGCTTCAAATTCCAGTACTTACCAATGTCCCTTCCTTGTCTTGAAGAAGATTCCATGCACGAATTGGGTCAGGATCATACCCCTTCTTCTGCAATTCTTGCACCATGACTATCCTTTTTTTGTTTTCAATTGTCAATTGACCATTGCATTTTTCCATGATGAACCTTGAAAAATTAATTTTGAACACCTGATCAGAGCAATCCCACTTTAGTGTGACATGTGGGAAATGCAGCCTATTTGCAAGATACAACTGAAGAGCTGACCCTGACTACACATGGGTGTATACAATTTTGCATAAGTGGGACTCAAACCCATAACCCCTTGGACTGAGATTGCCACAGCCCATCTGCCTTAATGATTCTTAATGATTGACAGCTATTCAGGTTGCTGTGTTTCAAAATGTACATATTTTATATAACTTTTGCTAGTCTGTTCTAAAAAAAAATGAATGTAGAAATAGAAACTTAATATAGGGCGATTTTTATAAGAAATAGCAGATTTGACAGCTAATGATGGACAGTGTGTCCTTCAGACCATTTGATGCAGTCATTCATTTTCAATAATTTATTCATTCATTCATTCATTCATTAGCAGTTGGCTAACTAGTAAATGGCTTTGACGATTCCTTTTGCGATGTCCTCGTTCGACAAAAAATACTTCGCCATGTGAAGTAATTGAAATTAGGAAGTGCAGTGCTACTGTGCTCTTCGGTAAAAATTATCTTTTTATACACGTTATATTGAATTTTCTTTTTGTGTGATAAGTATTATATTTACTTGAAAACCGAATCTTGAATGCCAAATGCATATTGGTGCACGAGTTTCCTGTTCCTATGCAGTAAGGTGGCAAGCTGAGATCAAGAACGTTCCATAGTTCGATGTAAGGTTTACATTTTATCAATTAATTTTTTCATATAATTACACGGTTGTGAACCATAAGAAGCTATGATGTCTTAATGGGAACCGGTATTTTATTGGCTGTCCAGGTGACGCCCCATCCATGGCAAAGGTGCCGACGCCATTCTTTAATTACGCTACAATAAATTTACTTTCAATTGAAATTTTTTTTTAACTTTCTCGTATGTTACTTTCTTGATATGATATAGAAACAATAATGTAAAGCCACAGCAAAAACATCTACTTTTTCACAGAAAACTAGTTTTGAGAGTCCCTGACAATATGTGGATAATTCTTGCTGCTCTGTGTAGTAAAAAAAGGTTCAATTGTCTATATTTCATGCAAAATTACATGATATCTACTCATATTATTGAAAAATTGAAAATGAACTTATTTGAAGATCTGTTTTTAAAGATCAGATTCCATTATGGAAAATATTGCTATCTTGGCACTAAATTGCCCTTCCCAATTTTCGTAAAAATCTGGAGAAAAACTGCTGTATGGTTTAGGCGCTAGCACTTACCACAGACTGACAGATACACTTTTGCCACCAATTTATTTTTCAAGATCACAGACCTACAAGACCTGAATCCTGGCTAGAACACATGTTAAGAGGAAGTAATTTACTAAATATAGCAACAGAAATTATCTATTTTTTCGTTTCCTACATCGGCCAATGAATGTTTTGCTAAAAAAAACTCACCATTTTCCAGCACACAATTACAAAACTTTTTCTTCTGAAGTTTGTAAAGGCAAAAAAGTAAAATTCAAAAACCTACACTGGTATGTTTTTTCTTTTTTATTTAGATTTCTAACATAGCCTCTGCTTCCCCAGAAATACAAAACACGACTGTCTTAGTATTGTACAGGCAAGCATGTATGCTATATTCAACTTGATTGCAATTGGTGCCAGGAGAAAAAAAGCAACATAATGAAGTAAAAGGAAGAAAAACACAAATTGCCTAAGTGTCGGAAGCCAAAGTAAGCAAAAGGAAAATCTACTAAAACTACTCCAGAAAAAATAAAAATAGTGATTCCTAGTGCCAGGAAATTTTAACAACAACAAAAAGGCAATTTGTCGAACATCAGGGCTCCATTAATTACCCTTCAATCTACATCTTTCTCCTGGTCCACGTAAACAATGCACAAAAACTAGCTGCTACATTTATTTTATTCTTACAACTATCTTACCTGGCTTGATTGCTTAATTTTCTACTTTCAGCTTGCAACTTGCCCTCCAAATAAGCTTTTCGCTTTACATAATATTCCAAGCGTACTCTAAAATGTTCCTTTAAAATTTCTGCAGCTGTATCATATCTGCGAAGACAGCAATCAGAATCAAATGCAACCTGAAATATAATGGAAATTATTAGATCTGTAACAAACTTTAAATTTCATACTATTGGATCTTTTAATCTGATCTAGATTGTTTTCCCCACAATATCTGCCTGTCCAACTATCTCTCTAAATATAAAGGTTTTTACTTTAATACACAGGCTTGTGAGCACCTGCTTTGATTCTAACAATTTCGCAACTTTTTGAAGTAACTGTGGCACCCTTTCACTTTTAGTGAATCTGGAACAGTAGGGTGGTCTCAGGTTTCAGGGTGCATCAACACATCTATTTTAGCTGGAAAAAGGAAAAAGCACTGTATTTTGTGCTTAATCATTGTTTCTCACTTTACTCATCCTCCTCACCCGAAGTGACCTTTAGAGCCACATACCAGACTGTCCTGAGTTTAGAATGGGAAAAAAACACATGCTTCTGAAATCATGTATATGTACATACGTGTGTATGTGTCAGTGGTGGCTCATGCAGTGGGATCAATGTGTTTAGTAAACCCCGATGAAGTTCAATGAGATCAGAATTTGTTATTTCAGCCAAATGGAAAGTTTGCTTTTTTTTGTCGACTTTCGCTATGAATTCTATCAATATTTAGTTTACACAGCAAAGGTCTGTTGCGCTGCGACATGCCTCCCCACACCAGGTTAGGAGGTGCAGTAAGCCTAGAGAACCCCCCCTGGATAGCTTGAAATGAGGGTGAGGAAAGGCGGGAGGCAAGAGGGGAAGATGCGGCGAAAATATGACTCATGCGCTGGTCTTCACACTAGCGCATAATCCAAAGCCACTGAAAAGGTGGCTTGCGAGTTATACCTGTTGTAGCAGTAATGAGAACATGTTTGTGTGTGTGTGTGCGAGTGATTTTTAAACGAGTTGAGTTATCAAGAACGATAACAGTACTCCATTTTGATATAAAATACGCAAATCTTTGTACCTCTTGTGATCGAACACACGAGAACAAAGTGCAATGAGTGAAAAAAGACACTGTTCTTGCCATGTTATCAGATGAAAAGGATATAATAAATTAAAATAGACACTTCAATGAGAAAGTAATTTATATTCGTGGGAAAAAAAGAATGAAAAAGAAAGAAAGAAAGATTAAGAAAATGAGTGCCAAAGATAGAAAGAAAAAAGAGGGAGTGAGAAGGTATTGAAAAAGAGTCATTATTTAATAAATTTTACCATTTAACTATCTTCATAAACACAATGATTGTATTGTAGTAAAGTAATGTTCTGACTTTCTCGTTCTGGACAAAAACTTGATTTACCCCCTTTTACACGTGCCTCGGCCATTTTATAGTCTATATCATTACTATTTTTCTAATGACCTATTTGTGGTTGCTTATATTATCTTAAGACTATGGCTTTGAGTTTAGATTTTAATCCTTTGAACCCGTGATCAAGAGGAAGCGCCCTTGTTGTGTGTTGTGTGTGTGTGTGTGGTGTTGTGTGTGTGTGTGTGTGTGTGTGTGTGTTGCGGGTTGTGTGCCGTGCGCGTGTGCGTGGCGCGTGTGCCGCGCTGGTGTGCGCGCGGGCGATCGTGTGTGTGTGCTGTGTGTCGTGTGTGGGTGGGTGTTGTGTGTGTGTGTGGCGCGTGTGTGCGCGTGTGGTGTGGTGATCGATGTGGTGGGTGTTGCGTGTGCGTTTGGAGTTGCGTGTGTGAGTGTTGTGTGTGCGTGGCATGCGTGGTCTATGAGGCTGTTCGGGGAAAAAAAGAAAGAAAAAAAGAAGAAGAAGAATTCAATGCTTTGTGAAAAAAGTTAGTTTTCGATGCAAGAACAACATTGCACTCATAAACCTCCTATTCAATATGATTTAGGGGGTGCCCAATCCCATAAAAAACTCATTATTAGAATTTTTTGCTACATTTTGGAAATACCTACCAAATCTTATTTAATGGTAATTTTATTAATTGACTTTTGGCTTAGGTGGTGCTCATGTTTCCGGGATAATTTTATGACCAAAAACATTACTTATTGTTCACATTCTTTTATACTTTTCTCCACTATTTCTGAGGTATTAATTGTTCAATTACTTCATTTTATTTATCCTTATCGCTTTCGGAAGCATCTCTTTATCTTTCAATTCATTTTAAAATGTTCAGAGTAGAAATTTCATTCTGGACGAGTTAATTCACTAAGGGGACACGTCTTATCAATTTCGGTTGAGTTTTGTAGATATCAGATTGTGGGGGAGATTGTAGGGGCTCTTACGTCCCTGGGTTGGAATAATTCACTTAAATTTTCTGTCCTTAAAACAAAAATTACTATTTACAGTTTCAAAGGATGGCATGGATGTCCTTGACCATATTATATTATTATGGTGGATTTTTGGTGGTATTATATGGTGGATTTTAATGAAATGTAATTTTTTTCCCTTTTCTCTTTAGATAATGCAATTTAGTATAGAAATTAATTTTATGATATGACAAAAGCAAATGACCACTTTTGTACTTTTTTAATGATTTAGTTAATGAGTATTTTTTTTACTATTTTCCAATTTCTAATGCATTTTTGTTGTTTTCATCGATTTTAATATCATTTTGATGGTTTTGCTTCAATGTTTACGAGTTGCAACAATGTTTCAAGAATTCCTGAGAGCTATTAGATTTCTTTGTTCAGGATTGTAATGGCAACTGTTGTATGTAATATTGGTCGCAGTGAACTATCATTGCCAGTGTTGGTTTGGCCAGTTTCGGGATAACTAAAGATAGATTTCCTGGAAGAGACAGACAAACCAAAAAGCTTGCAAGGTAAGTGTACTTCAAGAATTAAAGAAGCCTTGATTTCATCAGTAACGCATCTCAGTTGAGTCGTTCATCCAATTGGTTTTTTGTGTCATTTTTCTTGTTTTTATGGACTTTTGAAACACTAAGAGGCATTTCATTGATCATTTTTGGGAATGTTGTAGCAGTCAAAATACCGCCCCTTTATTATTTTATCAAATGTCTTGCATCATATCTGCAGACATAGATTAGTCTTCGTAAATATTTCCATTTCGGCTCAACAGCATGAGAATGGGGAAGGGAACACAGCTTGCATTTGATGGTGTAACTTCAACTACAATTCTTCGCCTTATTGGCCTGGTATTTATTTTGAGATAAGAGGTCTGTGATAGTACTCCTGCTCAACTCTGTATATCTCAGCTGCAAAATTAATATTCCAATACTTGTTAAGTCAATTTACCGAAATTTTCTTTTCTTGTTATATGAAGTTATTATTCTTGTAGTATAGATTTATAAGATTAGAGATTTATTAAAGACTAGGATAGCTTTCCAGATTGCATTAAAGTGTGTCTACTTCAGTGGCATGGTCCAGACAGTGCATGCAGTGGATGCGATGACATGGGCACTGTTGTAAGCTCCGAAACAAAGAGGAAAAAAATATCTAATGAGATTCAAATGCATGTAGTGTTCTATAAATTCTAGTAACTTCAAATTCGTTTGAGGTTCCACAAATATGTTCAAAGCAGCCCCAGTGATAAAGAAATCCAGACACAATGCAGCTATGCCTTAACCTGTGAT